CGCCTCTCTGTATGTGTATGTTGGAACTTCTAAAGATGGTATTAAATGCTGAGGTGAACACGTGGTTCATGGACCTTCTGCAGCAACCAAAATACCTCCTCCTCCTCTCTCTCTCTCTCTTTTTAAAAATTTTGGTCAGAGAGAAGAATTTCTGCTCAGTGATTGTCCTCCAAAGTAAGGGTAGGGAAGATCCTTTTTCACATGTGTTCAAAATCAGACATGACCTTCTCTTCTGGTTTGGGGGAAAATGTGGAAAAATATTTTAGAAGGGGCAAAATTGTCTCCTGGGCCCACCAGTGCATTGAAAGTTAGCATAGATTGGCTTTAAAAGTAAGTAACAGCACTTTAAACTGATCTCTGTAGTGAACAGGCTGTCATTTTCATTCTTCAGAGCTAATCCAATATGGCTCCATTTTACGTTTGTGCAGGGCGTACCTTCTGAGGTCCGAGGCCCAGACGTGCTCATCCCTGGACATTGGAAGGCCCACCCTTTCTAAGACAACTTTTAAAAACTGAAAATTCCCCCCTCCCCAGATAATTTATTGGATGTTTAAAAAGAAACACAAATCTTTTTGGGGTTATGTAGCCCTGGAGTGTCAAAGAGCCCCCAAACATTTATTTATTTTATTTATATTATTTACTGCATTTATACCCCACCCATCTAGTCAATCAACTACTCTGGGCATAGAAAAGTTGCCTCCCATGCGCCTTAAAGCAGTGGTCCCCAACCTTGGGCCTCCAGATGTTCTTGGACTTCAACTCCCAGAAATCCTGGCCAGCAGAGGTGGTGGTGAAGGCTTCTGGGAGTTGTAGTCCAGGAACATCTGGAGGCCCAAGTTTGGGGACCACTGCCTTAAAGGATGCAAGAGCATTTTCTGAGCCATTAAAACAATGTTTGAGGTAACATGGAGAGGCTGCTCCTTATTTAGATAAAGCTGGCAGAATTCTAGGAGCTAGCTGAAACATCTGAACTATTTTCAAAGGAAGCTCCATGAAATCCTGTTATTTAGCATAGCACTACTTAGAGTAGGCCCACTGAAACGGTGGCCCTTATGGAGAAGTTGACTCACTAAATCCCCACTGATTCAGTGGGCCCGCTCTGTTTATGACTTATTAAACTAAGCAGCAGGATTTCAGCCATTGTACCCAGCAGGGAGATTACTAGAACATGAGTCACTCAAGCCTGGCTGTCTCTGTTCAGAAAAGGCTGCAGCTGATGAATCAACCAACAGTGGCTGGTTGATGCCCCAAATAACAAAGGCCTCTTGGGCAGCCATTAATAGTGAATATGGTTGACATGGCCTCCTATATCTTTGGTTGAGAGAGGTGAAGAGAGAGAGAAATACAGGAAGGTTTCATTTGCATGGGCCAATATCTTATCATTAGTCCCAACTAGGCTACACATTTTAAATTAACAGGATTTACAAGACACAGCATTAGCAGCCTGTCCTTATTCTTTACTCGACCAAAATTACACTGCCCTCTTCATGGGTGAGCCGTTTCTTTCTCCTGTGTTATAATTAGTCTCATTTCACTGGCGGTTGCTGTTTACAGAGGTTTACTTTATTACATTGTGGTCTCTACTCATTGAACCCAGTTTTGTTTTTATATTTCCTGCCTCTATTCTGTTAGCAAAGGCAAACAATCACATCAGGAAATAGGGACAGGGAGGAGGGTGACCGAAAATTCAAATGCTTTCCAACTTCTTTTTTCTCCATTCTTCTGTCTTTTCCGACACTCCCTCCTCTTCCCAAAATGGTGGTGTGCAGAGTCAGTAAAGTTCAATGGAGATTCTTTTGGGAGGGGGAAATTACTGATTAGGATTTAATTTGAGGCAGGCCTACTGCAGCACCTCGCCTAAATGTGTGTTTCCTCTGCTAGTGCTCAGCCCTGGAGCATGATCATAAAAACGTAAATGTCTGCTCTGAAGCGTGTGCAAAATACCACTGAGTAGCCAAAACTAGGCCCCACACATCTGGGACTAAAAGGTTTCCTAAATCAATTACAGTGACATCAGTACAGGCTTGAATTTCAGCAACTCTCATTTTAGAAACAGTATTAATTCTGATGGGCAAATGAGAATTCAATATTGTTTACTCTTCTTGTAAAGTCAAACACATTTAACTTTATGGATAGCCTGGCTTTTATATTCTTGCATGTTGGAAGACAGCTTAAAAGCACACTGCAGAAACTTCCATGTAAGAGTTTCCATATTCTCTTAAGTTACATAGCTAAATAACTGTTATTTAGGGGACATTTCCAAGAAATTTCTTTAGGATCAACCTGGGCAGGCACTTGAGTTTTTGTAAAGTGGGAGAAACTGCACACTATTTGGTTTGTAATTCACATGCATACTGCACCACTACAACATGCCTATTTTATTCTCAAGACCCTACTGTGTGTGGCACCTAGAAGGCTAAGGTGCGCAGCAGCAAATCTTCAGAATTTATCAACACTAATGTAGACAAGTTGGGGATGTGGTGGCGCTGCGGGCTAAACTGCAGAAGCCTGTGCTGCAGGGTCAGAAGACCAGCAGTCATAAGATCGAATCCACGCGACGGAGTGAGCGCCCATCGTTTGTCCCAGCTCCCGCCAACCTAGCGGTTTGAAAGCATGAAAATGCAAGTAGATAAATAGGGACCATTAGAAGGCTAAGGTGTGCAGCAGCAAATCTTCAGAATTCATCAACACTAATGTAGACAAATTCTCAAGGTTCACTGCAACACCCCTTAGCTTTTTAAATCACACAGCATTAATACTGTATAGACAAAGCTGGCTAAATAGCTGGCTGTGGAGCCAGAGGTTGGGAGTTTGGTTCCCCACTGTGCCTCTAGAGAGAAGAACCGAACATGGGCAAGGCGCACAGTCCCAGGGCACCCCAGCAGGGAATGGTAAACCACTTCTGAGTAATTCATCAACACTAATGTAGACAAATTCTCAAGGTTCACTGCAACACCCCTTAGCTTTTTAAATCACACAGCATTAATACTGTATAGACAAAGCTGGCTAAATAGCTGGCTGTGGAGCCAGAGGTTGGGAGTTTGGTTCCCCACTGTGCCTCTAGAAAGAAGAACCAAGCTGTATGGCCATGGGCAAGGCGCACAGTCCCAGGGCACCCCAGCAGGGAATGGTAAACCACTTCTGAGTATTCTATACCTAGAAAATCTTTCGGAACGGTTCATCATACGTGCAAATTGACTTGAAGGCACACTGTATTATTGATGCAGTCCACTATTGTATTTATTTTATTTATATGCTGCCTTTCTCACCCAAATAGATGTATATGAATTAGAGATAGGTATATCAGCAAATACACATTACATTCTTAAAGTTCGTGTCAGTTTCTCAGCCAAACAAGCAAGCATCTGGTGTTTTGCAACCTGGCCTGCTGTGGTGGGCACCCACACAGAAGCAACGGCCCAGCTTCCCTTTGGGCACTGCATTTGAGTGGGTGGGTGCCTGCCAGCGGAGGTGGGGCTGCAAAGAATCAAACACCTGTTTGGCTGAGAAATGAACTGCCACAAACTGTTTAAGAATGTAATGTGCATTTGTTAATATGCTGGCCAGGATCTTTTTAGTTATCACTGCTGCCATAATATGATCTGCATCCCTTTCAGTGGTGGATTGCAGCATGTTGTTAACACAGAAATTCCTTATCTTGCAATAACTGCATGACTTGGTGTGTGGTAGGAAATGTATAAACTGGTTTCTTAAACCTCCAGTAATTGCTGCTGAAAAGTAAACTTATAGTGTTACATTGATGGAGGTAGGATTCCAGTTAATTGTCTTGTTTCACTGTCAATGATATATACTGGATCCAGGGCTCACTGAAGTTCAGGTCGTGCGACTTTCTGATTATCAAGAACTATGACTTCTCTACTGCTTTGGAGCTTAGCTGCAATCTTCACAGTAGCTGGGAGAGAAACTGGTTTCCCTGAGAACAGAAAGGAAACTGGACTGCTCAATTCACTTTTCACACTGTTATCAACCACTTTTCATCAAATATCTGAAATTTGAATTGCACAAATACGCTTTCTGAAATCTACATTTTGTGTCTAATAGAGCACTAAGAAAAGTAGACCTGGCCACTCAACAATTTGCTAGGGTTATTAATTTCTTGGTAGGAAAGTTGAACAAAGGCCCCACATGGAGGAAGTTTAGTGTCTCTCTACCTGTGGTGGAAGACTTCAGTTTTTCCTTAATCACTCCTCAGGGCAATTAGACCTGAAGCTAGACTGAAAAGTACCTCAGCATGACTCCTACAAATTTCCAGCAAAGTAGGGTTCAAGGCTTGCTTCTTCAAGAGTCTCACTACTACTGTCACTTTTAGTCATGCTGTAACCACACTTTGTTGCGAGGTATTTACCACTCCTTTTACCCACTTAAAAAATTCTTCCCCTCACAACCATTTTTTATGATCCAAGAAGGACAAAGGTCAAATCCACACCTGGTGAGTCTTGCCTCTCTGTTATTATCATACAAACAGAGACCATAAGTATATTCACTGTGCCTGTATTGACAATAGCATATAAGTTAGAACAGAGATGAGCAATTTTATCTGAAAATATGGAAATCTTACGGGGCAGAGTGTTTGCTTACAAGCGAAATTCACAAAATGGTTGCTGCATATAACATTTAAGTAAAATTACTTGCTCCAGCTAAATGAGACTCACTGAATTACCTGGACTTTGGTAAGTCAACACTTAGGTTCCATTGGGTCTATATTAGTTTTGCATTTGGATTTAATAACCAAATTTAGGCCTTTTGTCTTATATGTTGGCATCTATAATGAACTGCTGGATAGCTCAGTGGTTTAGGTCTCTGGCTACAGATCCAGAGGCTGGGAGTTGATCCTCCACTATGTGTTCCTGACAGTGGCTAGACTCGAGGATCCAGAGGGTCTCTTCCAGCTCTGCAGTTCTAAGATAATGATGATTAAAATTAGCATGATTCATCATCTGCTTTTGTGAATGAACTGTTTACTGTATAGTTAAGCTTACCCGTTGCATCAATGGACTTAATCTTGGCTAGTTACTCTTTCCCATTTGGCATCACATTCAATTTCTCGTAATTTTCCATCATCGTCTTGGTTACTGTTAAAAATTTGATGCCAGCCCCAAATATTTTTCTCTCTGAGACAAAGGAAAACATGTGTCCTTACACACAAAAAGGAACTGGACCGGCTGACCATGCTAGCAAATGTTTAGTTTCTACTTGAGTTATTGCTTACTGTTGCGAAGCTATTTGAAGTCAAAAGCCCTTGCTGATTTATTATAGAAATCTATTATCACAACCCTGTGCTGATTTACCATGGACGCTGCCTTCTTTTCATTTGTAGGGCAGGCACAATTCATAAAAAGCAGTCAGTGTGTATGCAGTGAATGACCAACCATGTATTCTTCTCACACCACTAAACATGGGCTTAAAATCCTGAAATTAGTACCTGCAAATTACCTGTACCAGTCCTTATGGAATCTGAGCAAGCAATTACTGCTTCTGGCTTTCTACCTAATTACAGCTGGCCTTAACAAAAGAGACCCTACTTGTGTAGCATGCAATTGACAGAATGATGTTTGGAGACTATTCATCACTAGAAGTGATTTAAACAGTAAGAGGGATTTTTATATTAAAGTGGTATTCTCTAGGTACAGCAGTCCCTAACCTTTTTGGGACCGTGGAGCAGCTGAGCCTCTGAGGAAGGTGGGGCACCCTCCTGTGCTCATGCGGACGCATGCTCTCGGGCACATGCATAAAGGGATGGGGAGGCTCACGCCAGTGCTGGCATGCGTGCGCAGGACACATGCTCTCGGGCACATGCATAAAGGGGTGGGGGAGGGCTCACGCCAGTGCTGGCATGCGTGCGCAAAGTGGCTGTGGGGAGGGGAGTGGTGGGAGGTCTGCCTTTGCAGCCTGGTCTGGCACAGGCCACGGACCAGCGGGCCAAAGGTGGATGACCTCTGCTTTAGGAGGTCTCCAGTGGCACCACAGCACTTCAATGATTTAATGTTTGTACTCTAATTGGGACTATCAATTAAATTCAGATAAAGGATACCATGTGTTGTTTTCTGACAAATATTGAAACCCAAACTGAATGAATTAGGGTTTTTGAGTGATTATGAAGTGGCTACAAGGGCAGGGCAAAGAGCCATTGGTTACCTGTGGGGAGCAGCAATAGCTCCACAGATTGTCTTCCATCTAGCATTTGTGAGATTAAAAAGTATTTAATCAGACACCTAGCAATCTGAACTAAGGAAATAGAAATTAAAAGGTTGAGCTATGGGCACCAAAGGAGAAGTTGAGTGACAAATTAACACCTCCCAATAAAGCCCAAATACTCCTCCGATACTCCAAACACTGAGGCTATAGACAAAGGTAAGACTATCCTCTTGCAGCTGCTCTGCCAGTCATTTCACACAGTTGTAAGACAAAAATCATTGTCTTTGCTGGCCAGGATTCATGTTCTAGAATATTCTTTCTTATCTAGCTGAATTAATTTATTAAACAGTTCATTAGCAGGATTGAGTGCAAATCCCACTGGTTTGATGCCATTGCAAGAAGGCTGCTTGTGAGTGGAAGGAAAACCCTCCTCTCTACCATGTGCCAGACCATAGCCCTTTGCATTTTCTCCATTTGCAGAATTATTATTATTATTATTTAAAGAGAGATCTGGCAATGCACAAATTCCACCGTAGATCTGAGAGATGTGGCAATGCACAAATTCCACCGTAGATCTGCATAGGGATTGCGTCACCACAAGGGCACGAGGCACCCATCTGTGTGTCCCTTTTCAGGCTCAGACTGTTACACATCTCTGATTCAGACCATTTTGTTGCAAGGGACTAATAATAGTGCCGTTCAGTCAAATCTGCTTTTCCAGATAGAATATACTCAGAAGTAGTACCATTTTGCTGCAAGGGACTAATAATAGTCCTCTGCTGTCCAGTCAAATCTGCTTTTCCAGGGTTTTCCAGATAGAATATACTCAGAAGTAGTTTACCATTCCCTTATTCTGGGAGCTTCCTGGGACTGTGCAGTTTGCCCAAGGCCACACAGGCTGGCTCTACTGACAGGAAGCACACTGTGGGATTGAATTTCTAACCTCTGATTCCTGCAAGGGACTAATAATAGTCCTCTGCTGTCCAGTCAAATCTGCTTTTCCAGGGTTTTCCAGATAGAATATACTCAGAAGTAGTTTACCATTCCCTTATTCTGGGAGCTTCCTGGGACTGTGCAGTTTGCCCAAGGCCACACAGGCTGGCTCTACTGACAGGAAGCACACTGTGGGATTGAATTTCTAACCTCTGATTCTGCAGCGAGATACCTAAACCAGTGAGCAATCCAGCCAGCTAGCAAACAACTACCCTCTGGAAATCTGAGAGAAAAATGGAAGTGAACACTTAAGCTGGGCCTACATCTATGTGAACCATGCCCATCTTTTCCCTGGCCATGAGCAGATAGCAAGGGCTCTTTCTATCCTTGTACAGCGCGTTCCCATCTATGTTTACTTGGGATCAAGTACCGAATTGATCTCTCTAGTTTTAGCAAGTAGGCAGCATACATCTTTGAGGATGAAGTTCCTCTCTATGAATCTTTTATCTCCTCAGAAAGCTTGATTAACCTCCCTCCACCCCATTCAAATTTGCTGGCAGGGGAAGGAGGCTGATGATGAAAATGCCTGTCTCTCTCCTTCTTTGCGATGACAAACGAAGTTGTTTTTTGTCTGCTTCTAGTTATTTGGGAGGCCCCCACCGACTCCTCGATGGGAGATGATTCCAGGTGCGGCCGGCAACTGAACCGCCTGGTGCTTCCAAGCTGTTGTTCTTCCGGTGAAGCTCGGACCTCATCAGACCTCCCTCCTCCTCTTCTGCAAAGGGGCACACATTTCTTTCTACGGGGAGAAAAACCTGACAGATCAGGCAACCTGCGCTTCCTACGGATTTGTTTGGAGAAATAGCTGTCGGAGGCGTGGCACGGAAGCGGGCAGGCGAAACAAAACGTTTGCGATGGGCCCGCCCGGTCCTGCGTGCACCGCAACCCCGCTCCCAGGTGGGCTTTCCCTCCGAAGTAAGCGGAATTCGGCTCAGCGCACTTGGCTCGTTAAGTCTCTGGGCCAGTGGCGGGGAGTCCCATCGGCGGCGCGCTTCGTTCGCGGGCGGAAGGAGGAGGAGGAGCTCGCAAGCCTCCAGACGGTAGAACGGTTATCCCGGCACAAGAAATACACGACGCCACCCACAGCATGCCTCGGGACTGGTCTCCCTCATTCATACCCCTCTCTTCTTACCTGCACACCTCACTTTGCAGATCCCATTGCTTTTCCAAGCTCACTTTCCTTTGTTGTGCCTTCCCAGTTTTAGAATCTGGGCCCCCACCCCCACCCACCCGCACCCCTCGCTTCCTTAGCCCATTTTGGCCGCACTGCAAAACTCAAGAATGCATTGCATGAGGACGGGGGTCTTCCCGTTTGAGAAGGAAACATTGGATGGCACGTCATAATGATTATTCCTTCCTTTTTCAACATCTGCCCTTGCGTTCTCCTCTGGCCCCTGCCTACTACTCTTCCGTCCTTCCCCTCCGCCCGCAATCCTGGCCCCCACGACCTCGCCCCTAAGATATTTATATGTACTGTATATTGGTTTGGAGAAAGAGCTGGCGAGCGTATAGGTGTGCGTGGGTTCCTTTAAGAGCCCTCGCTCTTTCCTCCTCACGTGCTCGATCAGCTGACCCGGTGACGCTCTAGGGGGGAAACTCTCCCTGTTCCTGCAACATAGGACGCGCTGCTGCTGCTGCCGCCGCTGCTCGCCCGGGCTGGGATTGTCGATCCGCCCTCTCTGCCGGCTCCTGGAGCGACGAGCGGCAGCGCTGCCACCGGGGCGGGCTGGAACCGAGCGAGGGAGGGCAGCGCCGGGGGCAGAGCAGGCGAGGACGCCGGAGGACCCAGCTCTTGGCTAGGCAAGAAGCGAGGACCTCCCCGGGTAGCTTCCTGCCAGCGGCTTTATAACCCTGGGGCTCCCCGAGATTTATCCCTCCCGGAGAGCCTCCCCGTCTTCTGATCAGCAGGACTCGCCTCTTGAGCTGCCTTTCTGCTCGTGTCCGCCTTCCCTGAGGCTCCTGGAGAGGAGGAGCCGGCTGCTCGTGTGACCTATTAACGCCTAATCCCCAATTGTTACCCCCCCAGTTCATGGATTATCTGGTAGGTACCTGGAGTGAAGCGACTGCAGGCGCTCTTTCTCCTCCATCTCCTCTCAGTGCATTTATTTCTCTCCTCTTTCTGCCACTCGTGCACGCTGCTAAATCAGATACTTTTAAAGGGCTGATTTTTTAATAGTGGCTTTTGTTTCCGAACTGTAAGAGTTGACATATTCTGATTTTTACACCCGAGCAACGTAAAGACTCCTTTTGCATCAGGCTTAAGATCTCTTCCTGGGATGTTGGCACGTTGGGGTAACCGGGAGAAGGCATTCGTTGCTTGCCTGAGCTCCTGTTAGAAAATGGCATTTCTCCTGCTCTTAACATTTAAATCAGAGTTTCCGAACTATTAAAGGCCAATAAGCCACACTGATGTCTTTAAAAGTGTGCAATAGCCCCACTCATTTGGCTATTAACCTTCTAAAGTTGTGACCTCAGTCACTGGCATGAATAAACAAAAGGGGAGGCTTGAACACCTCACACTGAAATGGTGGGCAGAAGTACAGTAATGATAGTTGTACACCTGAGTAGTCTGTTATTCAGCAGTTAATATTTAGCAGCATTTTAATGACCATTGCCATTGTTTGTATAAAAAGAGATTGTATCTCAGGTGGTTGTTGCAAGGTTGAAGAGGTTTTAGGATCCATGAAAGCGTTGGCAACTGCAGATCTCAGTGGCCTCTACCTGTGGAATGAGAAATTGACAATAATGTGTCTGCTTGATTGAAAAATGTAAAGCAGAGTGAAGTCTGTATAACTGATGAAGAAGGGAAGCATGGAGCTCAGTAATTTACTGTAACTTATGTGCTTTCTGCCCCCAGCTATTACCTAGACTATAATATTGTCAGCTGTTACAACCCCCATTATGTATTGCCCCTTAATATTAAATGCTTGCAAGCCACTAATTACAAGCCATTTAGTCGTAAAATCTTGGTGATACAGCAGCTCACACCCCTTCCATGCATCACACCGTATCTTTTTGTGTAGATGTTACCTTGTAAATTCAGAGGAATATTGACACATAAAACAATACCAAAAATAGCCGTCATAAGTCTGTCTCAGCATTTTTTTTCTTTTCTTGCTCTCATTCATTTTTAGTCAATATCAGTCTGTATAAATTTGTATGGATTGTACATATGGAACATTATGGTAACTCCTGATTTAATTTCTTAAATTCTCTGATTGCCAGCACCTTATTAAAAATGGTTTTGTAGGACAATATTGACTTTTTCTGTGTGTGTTTAGGAGTGGCTTCATTGTGCTATAGATTTTTCTGATTTGTCTCTGGATTGATTTGAAGTAGTTTTAAGATTATGTGTAAATCTTTGCATTGGGAAAAATGTTACTCTCTTTATATTACACTGGATGTTACATTTTCTTCAAAAAGTTTTAGTTAATAGATCCTTAATAATAAATGTGAATGTTCTTGGAACAATCTCACAATTGTGTTGTTGTTTTTTTGTGGTGGTGGGGCTCGAATGGTTTATTATAACCAGCTTTATGGAGATCTGTATCAAGATATAGTTGCATCTCATGTGTGCTTTGAAGTAAACCTTCAGCTACACAACTACTGCAGAATTCTGTAGAACGTTGTCGTGAACACGAAATGTTTAATTGGTTTCAAAATCTATTGATGCATAAGGGAAGCATACAAAATACCCTTAACCTAGCCCAGTTTATTCTGCTGTACTTCTAGTTCCTTTCCCTTGCCTCTGTATTACATGCATCCTGAAGCAAATGGTTTACAATTTGACAATGTGACAAGCTTGCTGTTAATTCCTTCAACATGTTTTCAGCTTCTGGTAGGCATAAAGAACACACCCTTTTTCATTGAAGAACTTTATTCTGCTATGACTTGTCCATAGGACGATGAGTAGAGTATCACATCCCAATTTTCTACATATCTGGATGTTACGTTTTTGTAGATTTGCCTGTTTTGATATAAAGGACAAGGCAGGAGACAGATATGTGAATAGAATAGTGAACTTCAGTGTGAATAGTTATCTTTGATTCCCTTTGTAAAAGTCTGTAGGCAACACTAGATGTATATATGCCTAGAGTGCCTTGGAATGGGTTTTGTCTTTGATGGAAAATGTTAGAAGTTAAAGAACTCTGTTTGTATTCTTTTCAGTGATTAGTTACAAGAGAGTTAAATTGTTTGTAATAACAGCTAGTGGTATGTAAGAGGTATTGTCATTTCTGTTGCCAGAAACAACTCTGAGAAAATGGGGGTGCAGGCTCTGACCATCTCTCTCCCGGTGTACATCTAAGACTTGATTCAGTATAATTCTTGCTTCATTAGACTTTATCCGTGGGTATGAAATTTGGATTATATATTCTCATAATCTCATCCTTTGAAGAAGCAGGTGCATCTGGGCCTATTAAAGTTAATGGCCATGGTGCAGGGATAATGGGTACAATCCCAGAGTGCTACAAATCTCTCTTAGAAGCAAAGGCCTACACACTCTGTTCCTCCATTTCCAGCTGACAGTATCTTCCTTTGTGTCAGAAGTATCACAGTACAATAAATAAATGTGTCAGATAATTTCCACCCAGTAACAGGCAACATCAAGACCATTTAGTGTAGTTAACAGCAGATGTTTGATAGTATAGGTTTAGGGGCATAGAATGCACTGACATACTGTAGGTATGAAACTGCCTGTTCTCTCCACTGGCAAAGGACTCTACTTTATTAGGTTTAGTTAGTTCTGCCAAGTCCAGTCCATAGCCTATTAAGTGACATCCAAGTAACCCGTTTCTCTGTGTAACCAGAGGCTAGACTTTCCTGGGGTTCCATCCATTTTAAGAAATGGGTAGCTATATCTTTCCGCATTATAGTCCTTACATTTTCTGCTGTTCCTTCAAGATTCATAGATGTTCTGAAAAAAACATCAGGGAGGGGCAGAACGATAGTTGGAGAATGGAGGTATTAACAGTGTGAAATGCGCGGAATTCGAGCTTAAACACATGTTGCTGCCCAGTTGACAGCCTTCCATCTGTACTGGGTGCATGCCTCAAACACTGGAAATGAGCTGCAATAGCATTGGTATCTTTGAGGCATTCAGCAATCCTCTGGTGTTGGTGCATTGAAAAAATCTTCTTTCCCTCAGGAAAAGTGAAGAAAAAAAAAGAATGACCATCATGGCCACGGTCTTTTATATTGTTTGGTGTTGATTATATTTTTTGCTTTTCAAAATGGTGCATTCAGCGTTGTCTGTGAGTAGTGGACCGAGGCATAAATGCACCAGCATCATAGAACTAGGCTGTAACCATGCTAACAAGGAACAGCCAGGAATGAATGACCAGTGCCCTTTAAGTGACCATTGTTGAGACTATGCTTCACTGTCTGATTTTTTTTCTTGAAAAGATGTCCTGAAAATTTAATGGCACAATCTGAACTAACAGTTTGGCTTCTAAAACATGAAAGCAAATATTTAAACAAATTCTAATGTATGCATAGATACCTATAAGCATGCATTTGTCTAAAAACTGCACTGAGCCTGTCGGCCTTCCTTTTTTGTCCAGAAGATTTGATTTAGAGAATTGTTTTTCAAATGGTGTTCCAAGGAAAGCCTGGGTTTCCTTGGAAGCTGGTCAGGTATTTCTCAATTAGAATAATAGCACTGACTACTGGAAGCCAGTTTTTGCCACTGCTACCAAATATCCCCTGAAATGCTCAACATTAAAGGAGTGTAAAATAAGTGTTTTAGAGCAGTAGTCCTCAGCTTTTTGTCGTGCCAATCTGAGGATTTTTTGGTTTGATCCCTAACAGGAACAGAAGGCCCATATTGTTTTTGAGAAGCACATTTATAACATTTAAAGGCATTGTGTTATATTTACCATTGGCCCTAGGTTGCAATGACGTTGTTTGGAGTAAATAGAAAAAGAATGAGCTCAGTTGCAAAAGGACATGGAAGTTGTGGGACAGTGACTCTTTAGTCATTGTTACGAAAGCATTAGGTCCCACCTAGACTATATCTGTATCCCCCTGGTAATAAGCGTGCCAGTGGCTCAGACCTAATCTTCTGGGACTACTCTCTCAATTTAAGAAGAGGATCTTGAGGGCCAAGATGCCTGCCGGCCCCTCCCCTCATGAGATGATTATCCACTGTGGAATGATTATGCCAAGAACAATGGTCACATCTTCTGATGGAGCATGAGGAGGAGAAAGGTGGCCGAGTGGCTGTGTGAATCCTGCTGACAAGAGAAGCATTGGGTCTGTTGCTGTGTCAGTGAACTTTTTCTTTTTGCCTTTTTTTTTTTTGCTGCTTGTCTCTCAAATTTATGGTGTTTCAGTGTTCAGAAGAGTTCTGGAGTCCTTCCTTATTTGTATATCTTTTGCGACTGAATACATGAACCCAAAATTGTGTTGTAAGGGATGTTGGTCTCCTGGGAAGGGCCCCCGGGGTTGAGGTCGCTGGGGGTGAGCTAGGAGGAACAGAGAATCCCTAGAGCTTCATTGTGAGCTGGCTTTGATCTTCTTTTTCCTTCCCTTTATTTCATTTACTTATATAAATAAATGATCATAATCTCAAATTTGAAAAGGGTAAACAGAAGTGTGCCCCTGGATTTGCACACGGCTCCCATGCAGTTGTTTTTGTGGCCCCTGCCCTCTCCTGACCCTTGATTTTTTCCCTTACAACAAAAAAGATGAACTGTAGCTCCTGGAAGCCTCCAGGAATGGCACAGCTGCAGTCTAAGATTGCCCGGGGGGGGGGGGGGCTTGGGGGGGCAAAGATTTGTTCTGGGACCTGCCAGTGTTGTCCATCCCTCTGCTAGTAGTAGGCAAAACTGCCTAGAATTTGGTGTGGATGCTTAAAAAATCCTCTTGATTTGATGTCTGCCTTGTCTTCAGTCGTGTGCCAAGGATTTGTTCGGGGCCCTGCCAGTGTTGTCCATCCCTCTGCTAGTAGTAGGCAAAACTGCCTAGAATTTGGTGTGGATGCTTAAAAAATCCTCTTGATTTGATGTCTGCCTTGTCTTTGAAGAAAAAGACATTTGATGA